GATTAAGCTTGGAACATGAAATAACGGTGAGATTAAACGCCGCGAATCGTTCACAGAGAAGAGTTGCTCAAGGGAGAGGAAGTTATAGACAGTTTTAAATATTTATTAGGCCGTAGAAGCGGCGAGCTTTCCCACGACAAAGAACAGCTAAATGGTAATGAATCTATATGCGTACTCCCTCTTATTCATCTTTTTTGCAGATTTTAATACGATTTAATTATAATCCTATCCTCGATACACTGTGTTGTAAATCGTGATAATTCCAGAACCGCTTTACATTTTAAATATAAAGCTACGTAAATGTCACAATCGATATATTATTTTTTAGACTTTTCGGACCTATATTTTTCGCGCCTATTTCTCCATATGTAAGTTTCGAGATTAATTTATATATGCAACTTTGTGATCTCAAACCAAGAGATACAGTTCCTGTTGGCCGATTTAGAAAACATCATATTTATATTCTTTATATCGAGAGCCGATAAAAATATTTATTTCTGACGATATATTATTGTTCACTATTTTTTATTTACTCATATATCTTCTCATTGCTCGCTATTCTTATTCATTTATTCATAGATATCAAACTAGATCCCAGTGCTTGTCATTCACAGAAAAAAAGGAATCCTTGATTCAAGTATATTTTTATTCTTGAACGCTATTTGATTGATTTAAGCATAGAATGCTCTTTGTAATCACAAATTTTCATTTGCCTTAATAATAAATAAGTTTGTGTAAAGTATATTTTATCCTTAAGATATATTCTTGTTTTAAAAATCGCATATGGTAAAAACAAACTTAGTCACATTTGAACTAAGAATTATTATATATATTTGAAAGTACCGCTTATATCCGATGCACACTTGTCACTTGTCCTTGCAATATTTATAAGTAAATTTCAGCTTGAACCAAGAATATTTTGCACTTTGTTTTAAGGATAAATTATCCTTTATCCAAAATTATTTATATTTGGTGCTATTATAAGAATAAAATATACTTGAATCAAGGCATATTTGCATTCTCTCAAGGATACTGTTTTTCTGTGTTTATATTAATGAAACGCGGTTTTATAATTTCCTTCTGGTTTCAATTCTCGTCCCGTGGAGTATCGCGATGGGGAAGAAGCCCACACGTATCTAATCTACATAATCGCTCCTATTGTTTGATCTCTTTCTCCGTAACGGGTGTCGGCCAATAGAGCAGATTAGACGAAGGGCCAACATGCTGCTCCTGGTATCACGCCTCGCGTAACAGCTTCCTCGACATCGCTCGCATACACGAGGGCCATAACGCGAATCCCCTTTAATGCCGACACGAAATTTACAACGTGGAAATAGGCGCGGCCGGATGGTAGCGCATTCAAACGGGGATAATATCGAGCGCGCGTACACTTGTCTATCGAGGGCCGAATCAAAGTGCGCCGACGAGAATTACCGGGGGATGAAAGGAAAGGGATGCGAGACTACTGTCCATTGTCCCGATTCCTACCAGGGCGTTTCTATGTGATAGACACTTATCGCACCCGTTGCGGTGCGTAATAATGTGATTATGGGCTGTACGATCTTACCTTACCGTCTGATTCTCGACTAAATCCTCGGGATTTCTGAGAAAGAGAGAGAGAGAGAGAGAGTCAAAGACGAGTTGAGACGACAGGGTTGACGGGAATCGCGTGAATGCTGAATTTCGGTGTTCCCTCGTTTGCCTCCACCCTCTACTTCCTTCCCAGCTAAAGAGATGAGATCATTGTGTTGTAAATGGCGACATGTGCGTTTGACTCGCCCAAGTACATATCGTTGGCAATGGTTTAATTACGCGAAAATTACAACCGTTCACGGAGATGACACGTGAGTTCGCGACATCGTAATGTGTATTTCGTATGAAAACAAAGGAGAAGGGTTTGTGTTCTTGCTTCGCGGAAACGTTACTTGCAAAGATCTAATAAGAGAGAATTTTGCCTCCGTAATATATTATTAGATATTAAAAATTATTGCATGTGTGTAATGTATAATAATTATTAAATTAAGTTATAATAATATATGATGTGTATTAATTATTATAGAATGTATGAATTATCTAGTAAACTCTTTGTAATAATATTTATTATTATATAAATACGAATAACTATATAGTCATTAATTCACTTATTTTGCTAATTTTCACTTTTGTTTATTATTTATACAATTGATTCTTCAATTTCCATACTCTGCAATTTTATAATAAAATATATTTATTTTATACGAGAAAGAATCATATTGCTTGTAAACAGAAATAATACTATGGAGAAATTATATTATAATTTCATTACATCATCGTGGATCGTACAAACCGCATTTTTACGATTAAATCTAAAATGTTTTGTTGAAAACGTTGACATGCACGAGAGAAAGCGATAATTTAATTATAACCGTGTTACGCGCTCATCAATGCATCGATGCGTGCGGTTGCAGATTAGTTACATCTCCTTTAGAGTTATTACGAAGCCGTTAGTACGCCGAGATGGGTCATGTGCATCAGATTCTACCCCGTCCAAGTGCCTGTTTACAGTGATTAAATTATGCTCACGTTGCCGTTACACGTGCCCGCGCTAACGTGTCTACCTACAACGTGACGCGTTTCCTAGCTATAGGGAACGGGGGAGTTGCACGAAATAATGCACGTGTACTTCGCAACTTGCTGTCTGCAATAGCACAGTCTGCAAATGTATACAGAATACACCAAAAGTATACCTTTTCTAAATCGTAAATATTGAAAGCAGCACTGTACGAAGAATATTAATGAATAACAAGATAATAATTGAGTTATAAAATGATTTATTACGAAAATCTAATTAAGAACTTTTATAATTACGAATTGACATTTTATTTTTTAAATAATTTCAAATCTTCTCCATTAAAAAAAAAAGTATATATACAGATTTTGACATAATATTTTTTAATCGCGATTTTAAATTACTAAGATATTTCCTTTTGTAGAAATGGATGAAATACTATTTTAAAATTAAAATAAACAAAATTTTTTTAGTTAAGATATAAATCAAATTTTTTTCTCGTTAAAATAAAAAAGAATAATTACATTCGCAATACGTGATGCGACATTCTTGCAAAAAGAGGTTTGTAACAGTCAATATTTTTCCATCTGGTTAATTCATACAATTTGCAAAATTCTGTCCTAACTCGATAGAATCAATATATAGTCGACGCTCACGCGTGTTAAATTTTAGTCCACTGACAATCCCTGTAATTATCAAACAGAGCATGTCGCTTGATGATTTCCACTATTCCACATTCACTATTCTTTTCATCAGCAAAATCTCAATGCAACATGCATAGTACAATATATTTCGAAAGTCGCACATTTCCCGATTGTAAAATGTTTGCTGATTTAAAATTGACTGTCAGTTGACGTATGTACATATGTGAATATTTGATTGAATTTTACTTATTTTTACAACACAAAATATTTTAATCCTTGACTAAAAAATGTGTCAAAATTTGTATATAAACTTATATATGTATATTATATATATATATATATATATATATATATATATATATATATAGGGTGTCCCAGAATTACCGTGTCACACGTTAATGGGAGATTTCTGTGGCGATTTGGAGGCCATTTTTTCTCAGCAAAAATGTCGAGAAAGGTCATCATTTTTTCAATGTTCCCAATTTTTTAAATCATGCGTATCTTTGTAACTAAGCCTTAAATTAAAATTCTATTAAAGTAAACTTTACCTGAAATTAACTAAAAAATATAGTTTTGTTAATAATTTATTTTTACAAGGCTTAGTTTACAAAAAAGCTTTTATTTTCAATCGTTTATAACTCGAAAATTATTGGTGTCTGGACATTTTCGCTGAGAAAAAATCGTCTCCAAATCGCCTCAGGAATCTTCCATTAACGTGTGATACGGTAAATCTGGGACACTCTGTATATATATTAATGCATAGTTTTAAATTTTATTGAAACAAATAAATTTAATTTTTTTTTTAAATAAAGTCTGAGATTGAATAAAAAATAGAAATGCTCTATATCTGCACTTAATTTGTTTGACATTAAAAGATTCTTGACCTCTTCTAAAAGATATTGAAATGCTTTCATATTTTATTAAAAGGAAAAATTTATTTCACACATGCATATAAGTTGATAGTTTTCTCAAGTAAAATGTCTGCGAACGACGTTAAATTGGTACGTTGAAACTCGCATTGCGAGTAAAGGGTAGCTATTTGCGCGGGTAAGAACGGCTATTTGCGGGACTATTTGCAGCGGCAGTAACTCGTTAAAAATCTCATTACTCGGACGTATTTAAATCGCCAAAAATTACCGACTGTGGAAAATACGGATTACATTACTGCCGAGAAGAGTTAATCGCCACGCCATTCAAATGGAGGACTTTAAATGAAAGATAAAGTGTAACATGATACATGTAATATGATTATCAGCTTTGAGCTCACAGAAACTTCGTACATGAGAAACTGAGTGGCGTTAGTGATGAAAATTAAGATATCAACGAGAGACTGTGAGTATGTAATAATTTAATATTTTACTTTCCCCTGGAAATGTTCTCGTCTCAAAACATGCGGATAAATTATGAATATTTTATGAATATTAATTTGATTCGCTCTCTCTCTCTCTTTCTCTCTCTTTCTCCGAGAACGTGTTGCTCGAAATGAATAAAATGCAATTAATCTCCTTGCAAATAAAGCAGCATGAATAAATTTCACTGCATCGTTGGTTAAAGGACAGGTGGTTTCTCGAGTATAATAAATATGAATATAATAAAGATCCTCGCAAAAACTTTCGACTAAAAACGCAAATATCAAAAGAACGAATATATATTCATTCCTCTTATTCTACGTAAAGTATGACAGTGAAAGAGATTCAAAAATTGATAACTTAAAAAAAAGAATTTCTGTCTTTAAATAGAATTGTTTCGCGAAGTATTCAAAAGTAAGAGTTTAATTTGAATTAATTTTTATTTTTTTTGCAACTTACCGCGCTGCCAAATTGGAGTGCTGGCTGGATTGCTGTCTACCTCGCATTTCAGACTGACAGACATCCCCTCGACGATCGGAATTCCAAAACCAGGTAAACGCGTTATCGCAAACGATGGAGTATCTGAAACAGGTATTAAACAATTAGTGTCAATGCCATAACGTCAATGCAATCTGACGTGTCTCTATGGTCTCGCAGAAACATAAAAAAAAGAATATATATAAATGTTATTTGGACACAGTTACATAGCAAACAGATCGGATTAAAATAACATTGAATATAATTCAATCGTGTCTTTGCAGTAGTCGAGAAAAATTTCGAACTACACCCTTGGAAAAAATATGATATCGCAAATTGCATAAATTACAATATGTTTCTATTTATAATTAGTCCAATAGTAACTATGCGAGCTCCGTAATTCATTATTTTCGAATAAGATCTTGGTAACTTAAAATGTATTGGACGATATAATCTATTTTGTATTCAAAAGTTATTCTTTGTACGAAAAAGATTCTCCACTCGGAGATATCAGCTATTATAGATTGAATTTCTCCGCAAAAATATCCAATTTTAAAATGAAAATAGCAGACATGAGAACGTATTAAAAATAAATTCAATAGTAAAAAAATCTTTAAATTGTAGCTCTAATTTCATTTTTTATTGTATTCAATTATTGCTCAGAGTGGTTAAAATTACTTGTGCAATTATCTCTAAAATAAAAAAATAAAATAAGTTATTTTTTGTAATGCCAAGAGAGAGATTAAATGTACTATACAAATAATATTTATATTTCAATATAACTAAATAATATAATAGACAAATAATTTCAATAGAAATTTTTAATTTAGTCCTGCTGAGAATGATATAAATATAAAAGTTATAGCGCAATGCAATATACCGAGCAAATTATTATGCTTTTCACTGACAATATACATAGAAACAAAATAAAATATTTAACATGCATATTCATTCAATTTATAAAAACATGATTTAAATATACCCATTATTCTTTTAATGGATAGAATTATATAATATGTGTACAGATTAGCAGTGTGTTAAAATTTACTCAACATTTTAGCAAATATGTAAAATTGCTTTTTTTTACTATAAATATCTGTATAAATCTTTTGTCTATACATAACTCTGTGAAATGCTTATATTCACCATGAAAATTCATTGTGACCTGCTTTCGCCCAGAGTTTGCTTCTCGAATATAAACCAGCTTTTCACACACAGAGCAACATTATGCGCAGCGATATAACTTCACATCATCAAATACATATAGCGCGTGGCAGAGAAAGCAAGAATATAAAAATGAAAGAGTGCGAGAGAAAAGTTGAGCAAGAGAGTAAAACGCCATCGGAACGTTCGTTATTATAACGAAGAAGCGAATCGCGAGAGAGGAAATATAATTGAACGCATCGAGTATCTCCAGAAATCAAATATAATTGTCGAAAATGACTCGTTTCTTCCGTTATCTCTCTCTCTCTCTCTCTCCTACATTTTATATCCTTCCCGCATCATTAACGATCGTCGTGGAATCCGGTAACGAGATTCAGGCATATCCCATCGATATGTACGTACAGAACAAACGTGTTCAACAAGGTTGGTAAAAAAAATGACCGAGACGGATAGAACGAGGAAGCAGGAGAAATTAAAATGGTCGTCGAGCAAACGAGGTACAGATACGACGAGTAATTAACGAACGGGACAGTCAAGATTTTACGGGAGGTGCTCGTTAAAAGCCCCAATACCACGAGTTGTCAACAACCGCGCGACGCATCTACGAATGAATTGGACGGAAGCACTCCGACGCGTTCTGATGGCACATCCGAGAGGACGCGGTTCGATGCCGCATCGGCGCCGCTCGAACGATTTGCCGATACTGTTATATCGCCCTTCGGCTCGTTAATATCACGCCGCCGCTAATGGGATGACCGCCGAGGTCGCGGATAAATTGGAGACCGCGTCAAATTGCGCGGAAGAAGGGAGAGAAAGACGAGCCGCTGAAAAACGTGACAGGAGGGCAGGTCGTGTGTAGTATACGTTCGAGAATATATCGAGAGTGGTGGGAAGAAAGTAGCGCGCGAGGGTAGTGTAAGACGAAAAAAAAATGTAAAAAGATGAAACTAACGATATAGAGGGTGGAAAAGAACGCGTGGAAGGAGAGAGCGGCATGACTACCGGGATAGCTCCAAGTTATTCACTCGGCTATAATAGCGCGGTGCTGGGACAATGCAAGCTTAATGAAAGCTTCTCTCCCCGGCGACCTCGCCCCATCGTCTCAACCCCCTTATTCGCCGGGGCTATCGTAGCCTCGACACCACCGAGAGCCGCCGCCAGGCATGCCGCGCCGTAGTCCCCGGGTGCAGCGGCATAAACACTAAACAAAGGGAACAATGAGACACAGAAGTGTCCCACAGACCCCGATCGCTTGATGAGAACTTAAAGCACGCCCGCAAACTACCGGTTCATCTTTTATTTCAGGAACGAACGCGATGCAACTGTGACCGCGCCGCCTAAAACCTCTTTATCAGGGTATTGTGGTATTTTCGTTCTTTATTTTTTTTAGAAATCTATTGTTCTCTAAAGCTTTTATCAGAATTATTTTTCTCTTTCTCCGGGAAGAAACACATTTTCAATTGTAAAACTTAGATTTAACATGGAAAGCAGGTTATGCTATAATCCTGTAGTCATCTCTCTTATTCAATAGATAGGGGAAGTTACTTTTATTCTCTTTTATTGTAACTTTATAAATGTTATATAAATCTTAAAATATAATAATTAAAATTTAATATTATTTTCAAGCTTTTTATATCTTCTTTTATTGGTAACAGCAACGCTAGTTGTTTAAATTTGACAGTAATAAGTAATGGATTGCGGGACTGCGTATCGTACAGATCGATTTGTGCGAACCTTAAGGCGAAAACCCATCTCTCGCCTAGAGAATGAATCTCTCCGAAAGAAATTTCTTCCGCCGTTTCAACCGGAACGCTCGTAAAGTTTATACGGACCGTTAAGCAAAGCTGTATACGATCTGCGGAAGAGAATTTTGTGAACGCATGTACGTAGAATAGATAAAATGTGTGAATATATGGTGACATTATTAAATAACTGAAATTTATAATATATGTACAATCTGTATTATTTGCACACATTTTGTGGAAAATATATAGTTTCAGAACATAATTGTATATTCGTGATAAATAATAGTGTGGATACACATGAATTAAAATTTCTTTTTCTTCCTCGACTAATCATTTTTGAATTAAACAGTAATATAAATTAATAATTAATAAGATATATCATAATGTTCAAATATTTCGTGTGTCTAATTTTAGATATTTTCTCTTCTGCAATTATTCTGCATTTATCATCTTTATGGCTACAAATAAAGTATCACATAAATTTTTATATCGCGATGTGACATTCCTGTTCGCGATAATCGCGCGTCAATGTAGTCTGTCATAATATATTTGGGCAATAATTCATACGCAATCATCCGACGAAAACAAAACGAGGACAATTCAGATTCAGATCTCGCATTTCGTCACTATCAGCCGCCACGCTAAACTTACGATAGCTCCGTAACAGTCGAACGAATAGCGGGAACAACCGCGGTTTTACGATGGCAGTCGTTAAAGTTTAAGTCCGGCTTTATTGGGTCAATGGGCGGCGCGCGCGCCATGTGCGAAAATTAGACCGTCGCGTCGTAACGTGTCGACCACATAAAGGGTTAGTATCGGCTATCACAACCGAAGAATGATAGACATTGAATAACTCCACGCGACTGGTTTTCCCATTCGGCCGTCGCACGTACACATTGCGTGACTTTATTAAACACAGCCCGAAGGGAGAGATAGACGGTCGACAAACAAGCCGGAAGAACGTGAGGGATGAAAAACATCGTCGGTGATCTTCGTGAAATACTAATATGGGAATATAAAATATAAAAGATAAAATAGACGGCATAATATAGGTAGAAAAAATATAATATGCATCAAATCGAAGATTAAATTTTTGACAGCTTTAATCGTCACTGTAAAATAGATGAAAAAATATTCATGGTGTAAAAAAATCTAAATACACAGGTATTCTTAAGAAATTTCTAAAGAAAAATTAGATCTTTTACATAAATGATATTTAATGAAAGTTCGAAGTAGCATAATTTCTCCGCTCTGGTTATCTCTTGCCAAAGAAAATGCAAGAGAGAAGTAAGCGAAACTCGAGCATCCTGATCTTGTAAACTCTAATGACTTTGTTTCAGTGCCGAATCGTAATCCGCAGGTTCATGCAGCTTTCTCACTCTTAAGCTGGCAGCTATTCTCTAAGGAATTATACCACGCGAACTCTACTAGTCCCTGCGTTACCTGCCTAAGTATTCTCGTGTTTCTACATAATTACCAACTACTACGGTGCCGTCGCGTCGTTATTAAGCCGCTATTAATCTAGCCGATGCACGTATGCGACACTGCATGCCAGATTACGTTTAGATAGTCAGGAAGGAAAACGTTGTCTTAATCTGAAAATCTCGAGCGAGCCGTTTAACAGCGTTTACGATTGAAAATTAACCACCGTGGGTGTAAAATTCAGAATGGACGATAATGCTAACGACGGCCACAATGCGAATCACCGCAACGCCAAGAGTTAACGAGACATCCGACATCGCGTACAGCGATAATACGGTACTTAAATCCTAGCCAGCCAGCTACATACATGTATATACATACGTAGCAAGCCATGCAAATAGACAGCGGTATACACGCGTGCGCGATAAGCGGGATACAAATTGTAGGACGGAATAATGGAGGCACTTGATCGCGTGTGTACGTGCATTAGGAGATTCGAAACAACAACCGGTACAATTTTCATCAGGGGACTTCTGGCGGCCCCAGACATACACTTAATGCGATGCTCGTCCGAGTACAACTATACAACGTTATCGCCACGAGGGTTTGAGACCGGGGGTGGTTGAACCACCACCACAAGCACCAACCACCATGGTGATATTATCGCGTTCTCCACACACAGTCGCCGTATTATTTCATAAATTTACAAGTTATTTTCGGATTAGTCAGCCGCGTCAGCGGAGCTCACATTGCAGCCGGTATATGGGGTGCAAT